AATAAATAGACTGAGAACACTGGGAGTTAGGGCTCTCACTTCAGGAAGGGAGAAAGGCAGAAAAGGGAGAAGGACTCAGGTAGCTATGCATCAGCTGCATCCACAAAAAGCCTGCCAGCGATGACACCCCAAGGGACATTTCTTGTTTTAGCAAGGAAAGTGTCTTGGTGGCCCTGCCAGCAATGACACCCCAAGGGACATTTCTTGTTTTAGCAAGGAAAGTGTCTTGGTGGCCCTGTGTTCAATCACAGAACTGAAGTAAGAGGAAAACCAGAAACAGCATTTCCCATTAAAAAGGGAGTCAGGGTTCTTTGCACAAAAGGCTAATTCTACAGCTGGGGGAAGGGTGATGCCACTCTAGGGTAACATGGGACAAAAAGGAAGTTCCAACGACAAGGGGAAAACTAGTTCTGTGGTTGTGTCTGACAGGAGTGGCGACTGGTAATAAATAATGATGTACAAGCTCACCAGTAAAGAGGGGTGATTTCTTAGAACTGTGATTGTTAATGGTAGAATTAAAGGGAAAATCATAATTTCACAACTGTTTACTTCAGAGAGGAGTCATCACTAGACATCAAATTCTAGAGGCGAGGTCTGATGATACCCACACTGCTTTGGCCTTCAAGTGTCTATCACAGACAGTTTGCTCATTCCAGGGGTAAAAATACTAACTTCAGGGTGAGAAGCCAGACCATACTTGAACCAGACGATCAAAATTAACCACCAATAAAGGTCAGACAGCTGCCATGGGACTCCAGATGAACATTATGTTTACACCCTGAATCTCATCCTATGGAACCTTCATAAACTCTAGACTGGAGCTGTAGAGATGGCTCAGCGGTTAAGAGCACTGGCCGCTCTTCTGAAGATCACACATGGTGGCTCACAACTATCTATGATGAGATCTGATGCCTTCATCTGGCATACAGACATCCATTCAGGCAGGACACTGTATTCAAAATAAATCAATCTTAAAAATAAACAAATAAACTCAAGACTGGACAGCATTTCATGAAAGGTGCAGCATGTGTTTTCTTCGGTGTCAATACCATTCAAGAGAAAGGATGCGGCTGTATTGCAAAAACACGATGAGACACAACTGAATGTTGGTGGTAAAGATGGAGGGCTTCTGTCAGTATGAGTAGGATAAAACACATTATTCAAACTTGACTAAAGGAGGATGGTATTATAATGACGGAGTTATGTCAGTTAAACCCCCACATGCCATAAATACACCCTGGCTACAGAAGAAAATACAGACGTTCTTAGGAAATCCACACACAAGTGTCACTATATAAATGGCAGGACATATGTAACCTACTTTTACAGAAAAGTTTAGAAAAAAAAAAATGTCACATGTAAGGAGTTGAGATCACAGACTGGGCAACATGCCTCATTCCCTCTCTCTGCTGAAGGCTCCCTACATCTCTCCTGAAGGCTTCCTAGTGTTTCTTCGTACTAACTTCAGAACAAGTGGACCAATGATGCCAAATAGCTGTGAGGGTTCCTACCATGAGCATCAGCTTAAACCCTCTTTTCCCTCTACAAACTACCTCACTTCTGCGTACCAAATTTGGCCAAGGCAAAAACTCCGGCTTTCAGCCACTTGTTTAAAATTTTCAGGCTTTTCTTCAAATCATAAAATACTAAGACAGAAAAGGGATCATAAACGAACATTTGAGATGGGTTTTGGTGGTGCACGCCTTTAATCCCAGCACTAGGGAGGCAGAGGCAGGCAGATCTCTGTGAGTTTGAGGCCAGCCTGGTCTACAGAGTGAGTTCCAGGACAGGCTCCATAGCAATACAGAGAAACCCTGTCTTGAAAAACAAACAAAACCAAAACCAAACACCCAAACAAAAACAAAAACCGGAACATTTAAGAATTCTGTGGATTTAAACTGATGTAGCTGTTGCATTTCAGTGGTACAATGTGCAAGATGAGCTACGGAGTCCAGGAGTATCTAACACACCTGTTACAGCAAACACAAGGACATCAGCAAGAGAGGAACCGGCCAGCAAAGACACATACACTCTTGTAGGAGATACTCTGAAGTGGGGCAAAGGGAGGCTCCCAGGTGGCCACCAGACAGCACAGTGTTTGATGAGGTTAGGACCCCCATCGAAAGTCAAGGAATACCTATATATACATCAAATGAACGTGGATCGCTACAAGGTACAGCACAGATCAAAAGGGAGCACGTGCCACAGCATCATCTGTGAGAGGGTTCAGAATGCTGTTAAAGGCAGTAGTAAATACCCAAAAACAGTGGCCCAAGGACAGGCAAAATGTCTGTCATTAACCCTTGGACAACCAGAGTAAGGGATACCACCCTTTACTTTTCCTAAAAGATCATGAGCTGTTTTTATCATTTTCAGGAGCCAAGCACTTTGAGTCTGGAGAATTAATCTGCAGTGTTCTTTGATGAAATACAATCTCAGTATAGAAATAAAACCAAAGCGGTGTCAGAAAGACTTAAGTTTTCCCTTGGCTAAGCTTGTTGTTCAAGGACTTGGGTTCTTGCAAGTTCCATGTTTTTCATCTTTTTAAATTAATTAAATCAACAGCTCTTTTTGCTTTTGGAGGTAAGATCAATCCTAAAATCAAAGTTCCAGTTACATGGCAAGAGCGACAGCAGTTAAAAGTGACAACAAACACAAACACCGATGACATCTTCAAAAGCACAGAGCAGGGTCTAAACCAGCAGTTCTCAACTTGTAGGTCACTGCTCCCCACGGCACCCCCTGTGGGTAGAAAGAACATTTCTCAGGGGTCACCTAAGACCATCAGAAAACAGTGATGTTACATTACGATTCATAGTGATAGCAAAATTACAGTCATGAAGAAGCAACAAAAATAATTTTATGGGGGGGGGCACCACAACTGTACTAAACTAAATTGTACTAAAGGGCCGCAGTATTAGAAAGGTTGACAACCGCTGGTCTCAATAACATGACCTATCTGTGAAAGTGGAGAAACAATAATAGACAGCTGAACTTTGAACTGCCGACTACCTTGCTATCTATTTATGAGTAGAGAAGATGACAGGTGTGGTGTACAGGGTAAGTATCTGAAGATCCAGAGCGACAAACAGCAGACTGCTGGCTAACAGGAAGAATTTGTTCTCTCGTAGTCAAAAGAATCTAGTGAAGCTGAAAAAAACTCTTAATACTAGAATTGGGAGCTACTTTCTTCTTATTCTAAATTATTCTTTCACTTGGGCAGTTTGGCTGAGAAATTAGCTCTTTCTGCACTGTTTGTAATATAGTCACATTCGGGGCACTTTGTAATCAATCACCTATGACTCTAAAGAGGTCCATGGCATCATAAACTAGTCTCAAGTGCCAATCGCAAATGATCTTTATTTGGGTCTGGTCTCCTTTGCATAGAGGCAGATCTCCAGGACCCCCAGAGAAACAATCACTTTCCTCCGCCTTTAGGCTTTAGGAATCCTGTCCTTAGGGGCAAGCTGACTGCAGATGCCATGCATAGGAGGAAATATCTTAGCCAAGAACCTCAAGTGTGTAGTTCCCTGTGACGTGGTCTTTCAACATTTCCTGAATGTAGCTCTGCTCCAGTCTGTGTGCCTCTTACAACCACAATATATAGTGGGTGTTGGCTTCCGATTCTAGTACACTGTAGCAATGAGACTGTCTGAGTCACTTCACCAGGCTTGTCTTAAAATGTGTTACCTTAGCAGGGCCTGTTGCCTCGAACCTATACCCCCAGCCACTCAGGAAGATGGAAAGTTCAAGGCCTGCCTGGGCTACAAAGTTCCAAGTGGCATTTAGGGAACCCTGTCTTAAAAGGGGAAAAAAAAAAAAAAAAAAAAAAAAAAAGGAGAGCTTGGGATGTAGGTCAGTGGTAATGCTCTTACCCAGCCTGTCTGAGGTCTTAAAACCAATCCTCTATACCACAGAAGGAAGAAAAAGAAAATGTACTACCTTACCAGCCTAAATCTGAACCACTTTATCAGCAAAGCACAAACCATCTCTAACGATTGTTCCGGGTCAGATATCCACAAAGTCCCAAGTCCATCCTACTTTACATATGTCCACCGCCCATCCGCTGTGAGTAGTGGGATGAATTAGTCTCTGCCCTAGAGTAGACCCTGTGCCTTTCTATAAATCATGAATTCACAAACTACGCGACAAATGCCAAGGAACAGTCTATAAAAATGAACAAGTAAAGAATGCATAGTTTATATGTGTACTGATCTATGTAACAGCCCAGGGCGTGCAGCCTACCCAGGAGGCAAGGTTCTGTACTGCCGAACCACGCCTCCCGGCGCAATCAAAGACACCGAGAACCCTCCTCAAGGGACTGGGAGTGATCTTGGATGAGCCAAGGCAAGTTTAAAAACATGTAGCAGTTTGTTTTTCTTTCAACCATGCCGCTGCACCAAGCAGAGAAGCATCGGATTAGCATCCTATGCATTTGGGTTCCTTCTTCAATTACAACTCCCGTTTATAAACAGATCTTGAGCTCCAGGGAGAATTTACTTCCCGGTCCAGAGAAGAAAACCAAGTTCCTTATTTTTACTAACAACGCCTTCTCCAATCAACACTCGCCTTCCCTGGGGCAAAGGGGCACGCCTCTCCGTGCCACCACGAGCCTGCGGCCGCTCCTGGGGGCTCCCGGCTTCCTAGCCCCGGGGGCAGGGGGTGCCTTGGGACGCCGGGAGCTGGAGACTCGAGGCTGGGAGATGGGGACAGCTGGGGTCGGGAACAACGGAGGACGGGGACTGCCGGAACATAAGATCCTTGGACAGCTGTGATCGGGATGGGAGGCCAGGGACTACCAGGGTGGGGGACAGCTGAGACTACGACCGGAGGCCTGGGACTGCAGGGTGGGGACAGTGGAAGCCGGTGACTGTAGGGGTGGTGGCGGCCAAGTACTGAGGACCACCGAGGCTGGGGACAGCGGAGGCCGAGGACTGCCGGAGCAGGGGCACAGCGGGATACAGTGGAGAGCGGGTTAGGGGACCCGAGGCTGCACTCACCCACTTTGTCCTTGCCATACATGTGGCCAGCCACCTGATGCGACAGCGGCACGCAGCCTCCGAGCAGGCGCGGCACTGGCGGGCTGTCTCCGGCGTTTCCCGGCGGCCGCAGGCGCAGCGCAGGGGGCTCGGCGGCCATCGGGGCGGCGACACTCGGCGTCAGGCGTCAGGGAGGACCGGGCGGAATCGCCCGCGCAGTCCCAGCGCGCGGACCCATACCGAGACCGCGCTGCCCGCTCCGCGGCCCGCACTCTGAACCCGGGCCGCCGGCGCCCGGGATAAGGGCGCCTGGGCCCCGCCTCTGCCCGCCCCCTGCTCTCTCCGGCCCGGACGGCACCACTGTGAGCATGCGCAAAAACTACTAGACTGGATCCAGCCGCGCCGTGTTGAGCATGCCCAGAGGCTACCCTACTGGCTTTCCGCCAGCACATGCCTGAGCATGCGCAGAAGCCACCGACGAGACCCGTTCATCCCTCCACGAGTCCAGAAGGTTGACCTGCACCGAACTGATCTAGTTCTGAGTCTGAGCCTGCTGCCGAACAGCAACTGAGCATGCTCAGAGACGTCAGGTTTGGACTCTTGTCCCACCTGCCCACTGTTTGCTTCATGACTACTAGCACCCCAGAGTGTGAGGAGCACCGCTCCTAGGAGACGGCAGCAGGGCAACCCAGAGAGGAGGCTGGCTATAGGCAGACCTCCCACCACGTCCTACTGTCCTAGATCAGAGACAGGAGCTTCCTGAGTGAAGATATTTTCTCCTTACACCTTCCAGTTGTCACTCAGTCGGAGAGCTGCCTCAACGTGCTCATGTTAGAGGTTGACAGTAATCCTAATTCACTTTTTTTTTTTTTTTGAAGAGTGTTAATTGTATGTGTATACTGGTGCTCCGGGAGGCGTTGTGAATCCACCTACGTGGGAGCTGGGAATCAAACTTGGGTCCTATGCAAAAGCTATATGTGTTCTTCATCTCTAAGACTCTGCGGGCTTCTAAACCGTTTTTCTAAGTGGACACATACTTTAAAGAGATGGACACTATATTTATTCATGGCAATGCTAGGAATTGAAGGCAGAGCATTGCACATATTGAACAAGCACGGTCTCACCAGCCGGAGCAAGTTGTTTTTGTTTTTGTCTTTCTCGGGCTCTCTGGGTACATGGCTGGCAAGGTCAAAGACAGAAGGGATGGAGGCCCAGTGTGGCTTTGCGGGACCCACAGCGGAGCCGGACCAGATTTGCTCGCAGGACCCACAGTTGAGCTGTCCACACCTTGCGTTACCTATAGCCAAAGCGGGTTAACGGCCAGACATAAAGAACTGGCAGGCCACAGGGCGACAGTCCTCCAGGTACGCTCACAACTGGACCACCTGTAAAACCCGGCCAGGATAGGCTCGCCCGGCCGGCGCAGACGCAGTCACCGCCTTGGCGCCCAGGGCTGTCCCGCGGCTGTCAAATCCTCACCGGTCCTCCGAGTTGGGGCCTCCGCGCATGCGCGACTCTACCGGCGCGCCCTCACACGCGCTCCTCCGGCCTGCCGCGGCGCCTGCGCAGTGGCTGTGAGTGGGCCCGGAGGTCGCGTCTTTCCCGGATCTCCGTGGTCCCCAGCGCTCGCCCACGCGGTCCTGCCACGGCCTTCCCGCTGCCCGCACCATGGGTGCCAGCTGCGACTCCTCAGTGCGAGGTGAGCCGCCCGCGGCCGGTCCCCGCCACTCTTCCGGACCGTCACCTTGACCTGCACAAGGGCAGGCGCAGGCCTGCGGGGAGGTCTCGGGTTGCCGGATGCTGATGCGGGCCGGCATCCCGGTCCTGGACCACTTTCCCAGCCAGCCACTTTGTGAGCAAACCAGGCTAAGCGGGTCACAGTCCACCCCAAAACTCCTCAGACCCTTAGTCCCTCCCAGGGCACCGAGAGATGTGGGGAAACTGGCAGCTTCCTGTGAGCCTGTGACCATTCCGGGAATGGTCATGTCGTAGCTATCTTGCTGGCTTTGTGATACAAGGTGAAGAAACCCAATCCGAGCCAGGTCTTGACTTTCCCAATTTCTTATGCACTTGCACCCGGCCACTTGTGGCAGTGGTCCCAGGAACAATTGAAAATAGCGTTCTTCCCTAGCTTTGAGAACAGTATTTTGCAGAAATCTGGTTGAAATATTGGGAATTTGTGAAACTTAGGGTAAGGTGATAAACTGTTAAAATTAACCACAGGCTATGCGGTATACATGATAGCCTCTGCCCAGGTATAAAATGCCGCACCCCAGGGTTTGGTTACTTTTAACCTTAGTTGAGTAAAGGTAAAAGTTAATTATGATGAGCCTCATTGATTCATTCAGCAAATATTGATTATAGTACTCGATTCTGTAACCATTCCTAGTTTGGACCTTAATTTTGTAGTAAGGTTCTATATACTGGATGTCGATGTAACTGAGAGAGAAAAACTTTTTGTTGTTGTTATAACATTTATTTGTGTGAGACAACTTGTAGGATTTGATTCTCTCCCACCCTGTGAGCCTCAGGGATCAAATTCAGGTTATCAGGTGTAATAGTGGGCACCTTTCCCACAGAGCCATCATGCCCAAACATTTTTAAGCAACTAAAGACAGAGATAATTATTTCGAAAAATTTACTCCAAAGGTTAGCCATCTTGGGACTCTTTTAAATACACTAACTTTGGTGAGTTTAATTTTCCTTATGGTTTTTAAAATCTGGGGTTTTGTTTTATTGTTTTGTTTGTTGTTGGAGGATTTGTTGTTGTTGTTGAGCCATAATCTTTACTTGTAGTCCGGGCTAACCCTGCACTCAAAATCTTCCTGTATCAAATTCTCCAGTGCTGAGACCTATGCCACCATACCTGAAAGAACAATGTTCTTGGCAATAAGACTATTGCATAAAATAAAATCCTCATGTGGTTTGTGGTGCAGTTGTTTTAATTTTGTAGGAGCACTGTTGCACATTCGTGAGGTGAGCCAAAAGATTGCAAAATATGTTTTTGTTTGAAATTGGGGATCAGATGTTGAAAAGGGAGTTAAATACCCAGGGACTTGTCACCATTTGCAAGCTAGTCTTTCCTGCAGTCAAAAGATAAGGTTTTGATTTTGCTTAATTTGTGGACACAAGGAAACCCAAAGATGACTCTCCATTAGTTTACCACTATCTAAGGAATATGAAACCTCTGGGTGGAACTCCCAGGTACTTCAAGTTTATGGGGTAACTTTTTAAAAATAGGAATGACAGATCATTATGAAGGCCATGGGGAATAGGGAGAGTCCCAAAGGCTTTGCCAGTCTCTTCTACCAGCTGCTTCCCTCTCACAGTTGAAATATAGTCTGTCTTGGAAATAAATCCCACCCCCTTTTAAGATTTATTTATTTTATATGTAGGAGTGTTTTGGTGGCTTGTATGCTGGTATATGGTGTACATGAGGTGCCCATGGAGGCCAGAAGATATCAGTCAAGTTACTCTAGTCCTGGTGCCAGGTACTCTGGAAAAACAGCTTTGCTCTTAACTATTGAGCCACATCTTTCCAGCCCTGGAAATACACCTCTTAATGTTTACTTCTACCTTGTAAAAGTGTTGTGGTTTGCTTTTTTATTATTTTTTTTTATTTTTTATTAACATAGAGTCTTGTGTAACCCAGGCTGACTTCTGACTTGATACATAGCAGATGATCACTTGGAATTCCAGATCTGCCTGCCTCTACTACCTCTTGGGTGTGGGGATTGTAGGTATACAATATCATACCTAGTTTATTTGGTGCTGGAAACTTTACGTAGGACTTTGTGTGAACAAAGCAAGCAGTGTGCCACACCCTGGACCCCCATAGTTAACATTTCTACTGGTATTTAGTTGAGAAATAATATATTGATTTACAGCCAAGTGTGGTTGCAAATAACCTGCTATCCCAGCCCTTTGGAGGCTAAGGTTGGAGAATCAAGAGTTGGAGGTCAGTTTGGGCTATGCAACATGACTATCTCAAGAAAAAAAAAAAATTAAAAGGGGAGTGTCTATGCTTGTAGAATTCCTTATACTGGGGAGGGAAAGCCTGGGGTCCAGAGGGAAGGTGGTTAATAAATAATAAGTAGGTATCAATCCAGGACTGGAGTTAAACAGAGAGAAAGCAGAAAGTGATGGAACTTTGGACCCTCCCCATAGTCAGATGAGATAGTTTGGGCATGTATCATTATGGTTTCTGGAAAGTGGCCTCTGGTGCCCACATATGCAGTCTCATGGTTCTTCCTCTTACCCAATAGATGGCCTTTCGGAACTCATTCTGATCTCAATGCCTCTACACCTCACAGAGCCAGCTGTCATCCTTCACCCTTTCCTGTGCGCAAGGCTGACTAAAGTCACTCTCCTGGCTGTCTAGATAGCATTATCTTGTGCTATCTTACCAATGCTTGTTTTCGTTTGTTTTGTTTATTTGAGATAAGTTCTCCCTATGTAACCCTGGCTGGCCTGGAACTCCTATGTAGAATAGGCTGGCCTCTAGTTCACAGAGGTCTGCCTGACTCTGCCTCTCAGGGCTGGGTTAAAGATACAAGCTGCCACACCTGGATACTTGCTTTAAAACAAACTCCACATAAAGGCTATACTCTGTTCAGCCAAAAGTCAATCATAATTCACCTTTACCCCTAAAACCAAGAAGCCAGCTAAACTAAATATTCTCTCTCTCAACCTCTCTCTCTCCCTCCCCCCCTCTCTGTGTGTGTGTGTGTGTGTTTGTGGGCATTCCACACACATGACGTGGAAGGCATGCATTCTGCTGAGTGGAGTAGAGGTCAGAGGACAGCTGTGTAGTGTCTGTTCTTCAGTCCTGTGGGTAACATGGACTGAGTTCGGGTCATCTGCCTTTCCCAGCAAGTGCCTTTACTCACGGAGCTATCCCGCCCGCCAGTCTCTTAAATAGAAATTTCTGTTTAATAGATTACTTATTTTGTATGAGTTCTAGGAGACATGTCTCAGGTTACAGCACTTGGATGGAGGTCAAAGGACAACTTGTGGGTGTTATTCTCTCCTCCCACAGTGTGGGTCAAGGATGAAACTCAGGTAGACATACTTGGCAGCAACCACCTGTGTCACCAGAGCCCTCTTGCCAGCCCCAAGCCTTGTGCTTTACTGGCTGCCTTATCCAGCCTTCTCTTGCACATTTTCTTACTTGGACCTGTCCACAGGTTGTAAAGAGGGATTTATGTGTTTTCATGGGCTTTGTTGTCCACTCCAGACTCAGGTCATCCTAAGCACATAACCAGTGCTGGCCTGTCTGTTTATTTTCTTTATTTATATCCTTGCTTTCTGCAGACTCCTTTATATTTTCCCAGT